TTTTAAGATTTTAACGAGATAACATACAATACTATCAAATTGAATACAGCAACGAGATTAAACTAAAAAAAAAAATGAAGTGTACTATAAAAGTAACGTAGAAAAAGCAGATTCTATCAAAATGTTCCGCTTTGTTTTAATATTAGCATTGTTGGGTGGCTCTCGGGCTAATCCAACAAGTGATATAGATGATATACTAAAAGAGTATCCAAATTCAGTTGTGGAATTTAGTGAATTTAATGATGGAGATCTAACTGTGGTAAGTAAGTTTAATTATTACGAAAATCCTTATTATTATTCAATTTTCTTTCAGCCTGAATTGATAGAAAAATATGGATATCCAGTGGAAACGCACCATGTGATAAACAGTGACGGATATATATTGGAGCTGCATAGGATACCTTATGGCAAAAATCAAAATTCGACTATTAAACGACAAGTCGCTTATTTACAACACGGATTGTTGTGTTCGTCAGCTGATTGGGTCATCGCTGGACCAGGAAAAGGACTTGGTTGGTGATGTATGCTTAAAAAAAAGTAAATATTTTCTAATTTTTTTCGTTTAAGCTTATTTATTGGCTGATGCTGGATATGATGTGTGGTTGGGCAATGCAAGAGGTAACGTCTATTCTAGAAGACATGTGACTTTGGATCCTGATAGTGATGCGAAAAAATTCTGGGACTTCTCTTGGCATGAAATTGGCACTGTCGATGTTCCAGCAATGATTGATTTCGCTTTAGAACATACCGGCCAAAGTAAATTATTCCATATTGGTCATTCGCAAGGAACAACAACGTTTTACGTTATGTGTTCAGAGAGACCGGAATACAATGACAAAATCATTGCTCACTTCAGTTTGGCTCCAATTGCTTTCATGAAACACATGACCAGTCCTTTATTACAAATTGTATCTATTTTCCCTGGCGGTCTCGAAGCTGCGTTAAAAGTTATCGGCATGAACGAGTTTTTGCCAAACGATGGACTTTTAAGTAATGTTTCAGAAGCATGGTGCGACAAGTCCATTTTACAATCTGTATGCACCAACGCGATATTCGTGCTTTGCGGTTTCAATAAAGCACAAATGAATACGACTCTTTTGCCCGTCATTCTGAAACACACTCCAGCTGGTGCTGCATCCAAACAAGTAATACATTACATCCAAGAAATTAAATCAGGCAAGTTTATCTATACCTAATTGTAAAAAAAAATAATAAAATCTAATCCATTTCTATTCAGGTTTCTTCCGACAGTACGACTATGGTTTAATTAAAAACATCAAAATCTATAACAAATTCAGTCCACCAAACTATAAACTTGCCAACATTGATGCACCAATTTACATGTTCAACAGCAAAAACGATTGGATGTCTGCCGAAGTCGATGTAAACCGTTTGTACAATGAGTTACCAAATGTCCAAGGAAAGTTTTTGGTTACGGATCCAAAATGGAACCATTTGGATTTTATTTGGGGCATCCAAGCTCCAGAACTTCTTTACAATAAAGTCATCAGTTTAATGTCTGACCTGTAATTCACACTAAATACGCATTTTCGAATAACTGAAATATTATGATGAAAAAAATAAATAAATTACATATTAAGTGTTTATATTGTACTTGAGATAATTTTATTTATGTACGCTCAATAAAAATCATTCTAATTGATAACAAAATCATATATATATAAGTGGATTTAATACACATTAAGTAGCATTATCGATGATGATCCTTCAAATGTTATCTGTATTTATCGCTTTATTTTTAAGCAATTCTGCACAGGGGGCCAATTTATCTTTGTTTATAAATAAAGAAACAGATTTAAAAGTTGTAAGTAAAAGTTTTCTATTCTGTTATAGTAAATAATTTAAATATATTTTAGCCTGAAATTATATCCAAATATGGATACCCGGTGGAAAATCATTACGTAACGACGAAAGATGGATACATATTAAATTTACATAGAATACCTTACGGCAAGGATCAAGCATTTGGTGCAAGACCAATTGTGTATATACAACATGGTGTGCTTAGTTCATCTGCAGATTGGATCATAGCTGGACCTGAAAAGGGATTAGGTAATTTTATTTACAAGAAAAATGCATCACTGAATAATTATTGAATTGGTGCAGCTTTTGTCATGGCTGATGCTGGATACGATGTCTGGCTTGGAAATTCAAGAGGCAATAGGTATTCTCGTAATCATACATCACTAGATCCAGATCGCGATGCCAGCGAGTTTTGGAACTTTTCTTGGCACGAAATGGGCATATACGATCTTCCAGCTGCGATCGATTATGCCTTAGATATTGGTAAACAAAAACGTTTATTCTACATCGGTCATTCTCAAGGAACCACCGTCTTCTATGTGATGGCTTCTCAATTACCTGAATATAATAGCAAAGTTACAGCACACTTCAGCATGGCTCCAATAGCTTATGTTAATCATTTAGCTAGTCCCATGTTGAAGTATATGGCTTTATTCCAATACCAGTTGGAAGTAGGTTTACTTGCAAATTGCGCTTACTAACATTGATTTCAGTTCTTTTATAGTTTATTTGGAAAACACGAATTTGTACCAACTGACAGTTTTATGCACAATATGACTAAGCTCTATTGCCAATTGGAACCGTGGAAAACTATGTGTGCCAATTCATTGTTTATGATGTGTGGATACAACCCGAAACAGTTCAACATGACTTTGTTACCAACAATTATGGGACATACGCCAGCTGGTGCTGCAACCAAGCAATTTATGCATTACACGCAGGAAATAAATTCAGGTGATAACAATTACACAGTTTATGAGTTGAAAATACAATTTTTTCATTTTTTTAGGAATGTTTCGTCAATTTGATTTCGGCTATTTTGGAAATTGGATTAATTACAATAGTGCATTTCCGCCAAAATACAATTTAGCAAAAGTATCATCGCCCGGTTACTTTCTGTACAGCAGAAACGATTGGTTATCTTCGGAAACAGACGTATTAAAGTTATACAAAGAAATTGGTAATCCAGCTGCAAAAATACTGATTCAAGATCCAATGTGGAACCATTTGGATTATATGTGGGGTATTGAAGCCGTTCCACTTGTTTACAACAAAATCATCACATTAATGATGAGTCATGTCGACTTTTCATTAATATGATGCATTGTATTTAAAACAGTATTTTTTGTTTGTTTTTCAATGTCATGCATAAATAGAAATTTTGTTGAAGAATTGCAATAAATATTATTGTAGCTTTCCTTTCAATACGACCCAGAACGTCGCCTAAAATGAAGTTCTTATATTGTTTCCTATTATTATCACTGTTTTTATCATGTTCGAATGGGAGTGATTCAAAAGAGTTGAAATCGGGATGCCCAAAACCAAATGTTTTCAAATATTTAAATCCATTCTACTTAAAAGATCGTGTTGTGTCTTATGTAAGAAAGAAGTTTTTTGATATCGAAATTCTGGTAAATTTAATCTTTTATTAAGAGATAATAGCTTATTGAACATTTTTAATTAGGAAGATTTAGTAGAAAACGACGGCTATACTTTAGAGAATCATTATGTAGAAACACAAGATGGTTTCATTCTGAATGTTCATAGGATTCCATTCAAAGGAAATAAACTCAAATCTGTTGTGTTTCTTCAACATGGTATATTGGGTTCCTCCGTTGATTGGTTTATTACTGGACCCAATAAATCTCTGGGTAATATAATTTTTTTTTCAAAATACAAACAATATCTACAATTTCTTTTCTTCAGCTTATTACCTAGCCGACAATGGATATGACGTTTGGCTAGGTAATGCAAGAGGTAACAGATTATCGAAAAACCACACAACTTTAGACCCTAAAAAGGATGCTGCACAATTTTGGGATTTTTCGTTTCACGAGATTGGCGAAATCGATCTGCCGACAATGATCCGTTATGTGCTAAAACTTACCGATCAGAATGATCTATTTTACATAGGACATTCGCAAGGAAGCACGGCATTTTATGTTATGTGTTCCGAGCATCCAGATATTAACCAATATATAAACGCTCACTTCATCTTATCGCCAGTTGCGTACATGAATCACATATATAATCCTTTTTTAAGAACGATTGCTGAATACAAAATATCTGTAAATGTTATCGATTAATAATTAATTTCTGTTAATTTAATATTTAAATTTTAGACAATTTTTACAAAGTTGGGCAAATACGAAATTAGCCCTTATCACGGATTTATACATGGCTTTTTGAAAGGCACTTGTACATATGGAAAAATATTTTGCAAAAATTTTATTTTACTTATTAATGGAAATAATCCTGGACAATTAAACAAAACTCTATTGCCGAAGATTTTTTCGTATACTCCGGCCGGTTCCTCGACGAAACAATTCATACATTATTTGCAAGAGATAAAATCAGGTATTACAAAGATTTGACACGTTTTTATAATATTACTGTTTATTTTTTTAAAGGATATTTTTGCCAATACGATTACGGTGAGAAAGAAAATTTGATAAGATATGGGAAGGAAGTTCCACCGAAATATAATCTAAGCAATTCAATTAGCGATGCTTTCTTTTTCATTGGCAAAAATGATTGGATTTCTGATAAGGTTGACGTGGATAGGTTGTTTAATGAGATACGAAGCAACACCAAAGAGATAATAACGATAGAAGACGAACAATGGACTCATTTGGATTTTTTGTACGGTGTGAACGCCATCGATTGGGTATATAGTAAAATTTTAAATTTCATGAACGACTACGAATAGAATAAAAGTAAGGAAATAAATTGCAATGTTTCTTTTATTTGAATCCGCTAATCTTATTAGAAACCTTTCAAGACGTTCAAGACATTGCTGTAAACAACAGATTGAACGTTCTCGGAGAAAAGAAGATCAAGGTTGTTGGTCAGTTGGTCGATTTTGATGTGGTCAACAACGTTTGGAAGTTTGCTGATCAATTGCTTGACGTCCTGTTCAGCAGAAATCTTGTCGTTTGGAGTGTAGACGATGGAAACTGGAACAGTGACTTTGGTCAAGTCGTATTCTTCAACGGAAGCTTGGCCACCGTTGGAGTACTTTTCAAAGCGACCTAAATTAAGAAGAACCATTGAATTTATCGTGATTTTCGAATAATTATATGTATATTACCGGTCTTAATAAGTTGAGTGAAGTGCAAGACCTCCTTGGTGGAAGATCCAGCTGGAAGACGTGGGACGTATCTCTGGATGGTGGTCTAAAGATGAAAATAACATTAGAATGAATTTTCTTAAATTACAATTTGATATTACCATGTTCAGATAAGCAGATTCGAAACCATTGATGAGGAAGTAGGGATTTTGGCAAACCCTTTCGTTGATTTCACGGGACATGCAATCCTGTTGTCCTGCAGAAGCAACGAAGTCGGTGGATGGATGGAATTCGTTAACACCCAAGTTCTTCATTTGCCACTGAAACGTAGATGGTATTTAGGAAAAGTTTACCCAAACGTAAAATTTACTAACTAATCTATTGACATTATTGACCCACATAAAAATCTCGAAGAAGGAAAATATATTATTTTTACGTACGGATTTGGATTGTTGCTTCTCGGCGATAAGATTGAGCATTTCGTTGGTGGAGTACTTCATGAAAGCAACTGGTCCAAGCGAAACCATCTTTTCGATCTTCTGGTTGTATTCTGGTTTCTCGCTAGCCAAAACATAGAAAGAAGTAGATCCTTGCATGTGTCCAATATATTGAACCTGGTTTTGTTGAGTAACCTTCAGGATTTCGTCAATGATGACTGGGAGATCTTTCGTGCCAATCTCTTCGAAGCTTTAACACAAATTAATTATGTTCACATTACACTGAACTGAATTACGTTTTCAGTACCTGAATCTCCAGAAAGCGGCGTCCTTCTCTGGGTTAAGAGTGGTATGTTTGCGAGCATACATGCTACCTCTGGAGTTGGCGAGGAAAACATCGAATCCACGATTGGCAAGGACGAAGGCAAGACCTTCGGATGGGCCACCAATGACAAAGTCTTCGCAAGAGGAGAGAAGACCGTGCATAAGGACAACAGCGGGCTTGCCAGTAACTACTTCGCGTTCTTGACGTTGCTTTTGCTCGAATTCTTGCCTGTAGTTGACATCACCTGGAATACGGATCAAGTCCAAAATGTATCCGTCCTTGGTTTGGACGGTCATATTCTGGACTGGGTATCCGAATCCGCAAATCATGTCAGTCTAAAAGTAAAGAACAAATCAATAAATGTGATTAAAGATAAAATTAATAATACTTACCACATTTTGCGAAAGATGATGATGCCTGGATGGTCGAATAGTGCCGCAATGGGCAACAGCTACAAGAGCGAACAAAGCAAGGAAGAACTTCATTTTGAGAGTTAATGAAATAACTGAAGATTACTTACTCGAAATCTGCTTTTATATTTAACGAAATTGCAATTCTGCAAATTAGAATGCACATCACCATCTTTTATCACGTCATTCCTGAGAGGTCTGCGTTTTTTAATCAGACACGTGCCCTCTCGAGTTGCTCTATTTTGATTTTTACATTTTATTAGATATGGAAATTAAGTTAATAATCTTCTGCATATTACAATTAACCAACTGGAGAAATGTATAAAGTAAAAATAATAAAAATTGTATGTTATTCTAAAAGTAAGCTATTTCATCTAATGTACTGTGAACCATCATATAATTAACTTACCATTAACATTAGAATTAAATAGCGTGTATTTTATCGCTTAGATAATTTTAAGTATTCGTGTTGCCTGCAAATTGATTTTATATGTTAAACAAAAACAAGCAATTAAATGCTAGTAGTTAATTACATTTTGATATAAAATACAGCTATGTAATGGTCGACTTAAAAAAATCACACACAAAAGTGTATTAATGTAGAAATAACACAAATATTTAAAAAAAAAATCTCAATTGATATTTAGTTTATTTTGAAATTATCAAACCGGATTATAATGAATCTGAGCTGATCTTACATAAATCATGAATATGATTTTCTACTTTGGTGTATTGCTGGTGGTATATGTCTTATAGATGTTAAAAAAATCCGTCTAAAGTTGCCGCTTCGAATTTAACCGGAGCCAATGAAATGAACAGTGAAATCCTTGAAATCGTGAACTCTCTAAGCGTATATAGCATAAAACGAGAATTGGATTTAGGACAGTGAAAATTAAAATTGTATTTCTCAATTTATTTTCTGACAAATAATGAATTATCAATGAAAACAATCGAATTTTTAATATGTTTATATTATTACAGCTTCAATAATGTATTTGGCTTGAAAATATAATGAAAGTGATTTATAATATAAAACTTTCAAAAGACGAGTGTAAAGAAACTCGTTATTTAGTCGTCTTTTACCTGCTCCCAGGTGCATACGCTCAGAAGCAACGTCACCGAAATGATTCGATAAATTCATAAAAATCAATCGAATTCAATAGCAAATAAAATAACTACAATAACGCCGTTTTCTTTTTCGCACGTGCTGCAAGCAATTTTATTATGTGATATTATAAACGTGATAAGACTGCGGTAGTAGAAAGCAAAGGTTAAACTAAGCCTACATGAACAGTTAATGCGCGGGAGTTGATATTTAAACAATTGACGAGTATAAATTAATTACTTTAAATAAGCGGCACGTATTTTGCGAATATGTTTGAATATTTCAAGTATATTTTTATCACTGTATTATCCACGTTCTTCATTCACATTGGGATTGTTGTTTACGATGCTATTCATCATCCAGTTGCCGTTGGTCAATTCGTTCATCCCGACATAGGCTTAGACATAGTAAGTAAATAAAATCATATATGTTACGTTTTTATGTGCTAATTGTTAGTGTACGTAAAGTTGCAGTATTTTAATATGAATTCATATTCGCAATCTTCCATACACATGCTAATATTTTTGTATCATGTTATCAAAAACATAATTCTTTTAATAATAAATAAATATAGTAATTTCAACATGAGTTTTTTCGTAGATTATCAATAATAAACTAGGACAGGGACTTTAACGTTTAGCATATATTAAAATTCGCTTTTAAACGCTCACTCGGTTTGCTTTTAATATTCAAACTCAAACATCGGATGGGATTGGTTAATATTTGTAAAATAAACAATAATTTTGTCCGTCTTTCTGCCCTAATAATTTTTATTTTCGATTAAAATTGAATATTGGTTTTAATGTATTTTGTCGATATTGTCATAAGAGAAATGCAGCTATTGAATGTAAATATATTTACATTGGACAGGAAGGCTGCGTTCACCAGGTCATCAGTTGATATCTTTGAAAATATTCTCATAATTAAATTAAAATTGATACATATACAAATATATTGACAAGTTATCCAAGATTTAAAAATTGGTTTAATTATCATCAAGATACTTATAATGTGTAAATCAAAGCAGCTACTAGTGCTGGTAATTGATTCCGCCAAAACTTATGTGGACAAGTTTTTTTTTAAATATTTTGAATTTTTTCAAATAAAATTTAGTTGGTTTTGTAAATTTAAACCGGACAATAGTGAATCCGCACTGATCGAAGCTGTTCTATAAAACGTATATCTGTATAAGTAAATATTGGACGACGATAAAAATCTTTAGATACAAGTAGTTAAGCATTTGTAGTCGTTAAAATGCATTGCGTAATGTGTATGTAATGTATATAATTTGCATTTCCTATAATACCGGATTCTTGTTATATGCTTGAATGTCTCGCGTGACGATAATTAAAGCGTCTTGTCTTGTTTTTTTAATATATACAAGACACAACAAAACTCTTTGAGTCGCTTAATATTATCGCTTTTCTTAATAATTTATGCCTATTGTTGTGTGTAATTATATTTGTGTGTTTTTTGTTGTGATATGTTTTTAACATTTTTATTTATTTTACAGGAAACTTTGGTGAAGAGAAATGGGTATCCTTTTGAAAAACATCATGTCACGACGGAAGATGGATACATCCTTGAATTGCATAGAATTCGCCATGGTCTTAACAAGAAAAATTTGACAAACAGGCCACCAATTTTAATCGTTCACGGTATCCTGGAAAGTTCAATGGCCTGGTTATCGGCTGGAGTAGATAAAGCTTTGCCCTATTACTTGGCCGAGCAAGGGTACGACGTTTGGTTGAGCAATTGCCGTGGCAATGCGTATTCAAGGAAACACATAAAACTGAATCCCGATGTCGATAAGAAGGAATTCTTCGATTACAGTTGGCACGAAATTGGAGTATACGACCATCCCGCAACAATCGACTATGTAATTAAAAAGACAGGAAAATCGAAAATATTTTACGCAGGTCACAGCCAAGGATCCGTATCATTCATGGTGATGATGTCCGAACGACCCGAATACAATAAGAAAATAAAAGCGATGCTTGCGTTGGCGCCGGTGGTATTTGTCGATCACGTCAAATCCCCAACGTTTTATATACCGGCTTTATTCCAAAACGCGTTTGAGGTGTGAATTAAGCAATTATATCATTCAGTTAATTAAATACTTTTTTAGTGGATAGTAGAATATTTCGGACTGTACGAATTGTTACCAAAGTCTGAAATCATAACGCAAATCGCAAATAAATTGTGCAACGATGAATCTCGTCTCCAAAAACTTTGCTCCACTTTATTGAATATCAATGGAGGTTTCAATGGCGACAAATTCAATTCGGTAATATACGATTATTGAAATTTTACCTGTTAATTTAATGCAATATTTTCTAGACTTTATGGCCAGTCGTTTTCTCCCATATACCAGCAGGATCGGCCACAAAGCAATATATGCATTACACGAGAAATATCTTTAATGGTAACCATTACATATAGTTCAAATTAATTAACTTTTTTTTTATGTAGATTTTAGGAAATTCGATTACGGCGAAGCCAAGAATTTATTAGTTTATGGCAACAAGATTCCTCCGCTCTACGACTTAAGTAAAGTTGCTGCTCCAGTAGGAATATTTTACGGCAACAACGATTGGTTGACTCCCGAAAAGGTAATTAATCTAAAGTTGTACGTTTTTGAAATTAATCTGAAATAATCTGTTTATTAGGATGTACAAAAACTGATCAGAAGTCTTCCAAATGTGGTTATGGTTCATAAAGTTGCCGATGAGAATTTTGCTCACTTCGACTTCTTAGTTAGTTTACATGCCGTGGATATTTTATATGACAAACTTGTAAATCTGATGCAACAATATAAGTAAAAAGAAATAATACAATTGTTATTTAAATAATAAATATGTAAATTTATTATTCCAAATACAATCTAAAACATGAAATATATATACAAACTTCATTAATAATTAATATTTTTTACTCCTTTGTCTTTCACAAATATGTTTATTCATGTGCATTGTAGGTCGTAAACTTAGCTAATTATTAATCTATATATTAATTTACATAAATTAAATGTATGATAATTGAAGGAGAATCACAAAGCAAATCCTGAATGTCTGAATCAAACCACTGAAAAACGAACAAGCTGCTGAAACTCTTCACCCACTGCAGAATCAACAAGCCATTGGGATTGCACAATCACATCGTCAACACGAATGTAGATCGAGCAATCTTATTGCAGCGCTTCGTTGGAAACATCGACACGCATGTTTACTTCTCTGCCAATCGGCTTAGGATGATGTTGACACAAGCCCAACCCGCTAGACGTTTTTTTTCGTTAACCTCTCCATTCTGTTCAAACCTTTCCTAACTTTACTCAAATAAATAGTCAATTAAATTAATTATAATAAATATATTTGATTGAATACAAATAATAGATATAAACAAATTAATTAAGATTGATCAAACCGTTTCAAAACACTTGCATTATTAAGCTGACAACTTTATTTATTTATAACTTGCACATTTGTACAGCATTAAAGTCTAAAGATGTCCTCGTATTATACAATTATTTCATGTATGTCTCAAACACTCGCATTAGGCAGTACTGCAATCGGATAAAATACATTAATTATCCAGAAACAATGATATAAAATATACGCATCAATGAAGTTCAACATTCAGCGTACAAACGATTATCAGGAATGATATGCGTGTTTATTAAGCGTAAAAACTTATATATACTATTTTTACTACGTATTTAATTCAAACTAATCTCCTTGATAGGAATTAACATTATACAATTAAATTTAACACTAGACTTGATTCAACCGAAAAATACATTTTTTGTCATATATAAAATTATATAAACTAATTATGACCATCCAAATCCAGTTAGAATTTATAACTAATTGCTTAATTACAATTTAGTGTATATTGAAATTATCAAACCGAACTGATCAAAGCCGCACTATGCGAGTCATTGTTGTATTTATAAACATGTAATATAATAGTGAAAAGTAGTTACAGTCGATTGTGCATGTTATTTTTTGTAAATACATCAAAATGAGGTTTATATAAAAAAAAATTGTATCCACTAAATATTATTATTACTGCTATTGTTAAAATAGAGTAACCTTAAACTGCCAAGGGCATAAAAAATACGGACATGATTGAATTTGACACGAAACAACCATTTCCACGACTTATTCCAAATGTATAACTGGTATAATCGAATTTGTGTTGAATAAAGTAAGTGCATTCATACAATTATTAGTTAGTTAATGTAAACAAAAACTCTACCTTGTGTGCTTAGTAATAAATCAATTTGAACTAATCTTGCATAAAAATAATTATGAATTGTTTGTTTTTTTGTTCATATTAATTTGGATTATTAATTGCAATTAAATTTCTACATCTAATTGAAATAATAAACTTTTTGAACTTTTAAATAATGTGTTTGTTAAACTTACTTGAAATAATTAAAATCTTTTTACAGGTTTCATTTACCTTTTTTTGGTACAAAAACTCAATAAATTCACAATTGTATTACGTTTTAATGTGCAACGGACATAATGCCACCATTCAAGGTCAAAATTATCAACAATGAACGTAAACTGTTTTATGTGACTTAAATTAAATTGAAACAATAAAGAAACAATTAAACATTTAATCAGGGGTTCAATAAAATGTATTTATTGAACTTTGTAATGCACATAGAGATCAGTGTGAATCCGGAATTAAAACCGGCAATAAATAGATTAAAAATATATTGTCTAATTAAGGAAATCAATAAAAAAAAAATCACGAAACAATGTGCACGATTACCAGCGATAATTGTCTATATCAATTAATAAATGTTTATCTTTGCAATAAATAGCAGAAACATTTCGTTTTTTCATTCAATAGTAACGAAATGTTGGTTTTGAAGGCGAGCATATTCTTTGGCATCGTGGTGATTGCCACTGCTTATCCACAGCCGAAACTACATTCTGACGCAGGATTGAATGCAGTAAGTTTTTAAATTGTTAACTTATTAACATTTATAATTTATTAATATTTTACAATAATTTTTTTTTAGTTGGAATTGATTGAAAAATATGAATATCCAATTGAACGCCATAACGTTGTAACTGACGATGGTTACATTCTGGAGATGCACCGAATCCCTCATGGTAGAACCAATGCAGGCATGCAAAACAAAGAGCCAGTATTGGTTATGCACGGTTTGCTCAGCAGTTCAGCAGATTGGGTAAATTTCGGTGAGAAATCACTTGGATTCATTCTTGCTGATTTAGGATACGACGTTTGGCTTGGTAATGCCAGAGGTTCGAGATGGAGCAGGAAGCACGTCAGATTAAGTCCAGACTACAACCAAAGTGAATACTGGAGCTTCAGGTAAAATTCCTAACATGAATTCAATAAAAAATAAATTTTATTATTGCAGTTGGAACGAAATTGGAAAATACGATTTGCCGGCAAAGATAGATTACATCATTAACAATACCGGTCACAAGAAAATATTCTACATTGGACACTCGCAAGGAACTACATCATTCTGGGTCATGGGTTCCGAACGTCCAGAATATAATGACAAAATTAGATTGATGGCAGCTTTAGGTCCAGTTGCTTACATGCAAAATCTTCATAACCCAACCGCGCAAGAAGCCTCCGAAAACATAGAAACCATTCAAGTAAATACATACATTAATTTTAAATTGAATTAAACCAAACATCTTTTTAGAGTTTAATTGAGGCTTTCGGATTGCACGAATTCCTACCGTATTCTGAAAACACGACAAGCTTGGGTATCGAGTTATGCGACGACGGTTCTGAACTTCAAGAAGCATGCCTTGATGCCATCTTCATGATCTGCGGTCCAGATCCAGATCAATTGGATCCGGTTAGTAATTGCTTAAGAATTCGCAAAAACAAAGTTAACAATTTGCTTTTCAGTCTTTGTTGCCTGTTATTTGGACAAATATTCCAGCCGGAACATCAAGCAAACAATTCTTGCATTACGCGCAAGGAATCAAATCAGGTAATATTACAATTTATTAATAATTATATAAAATTATAGTAATTTTTTTAGGCATTTTCCGACAATTCGATTATTATTCCGATGAGAAAAATAACGCAATGTACGGACAACCGACACCACCAAACTACGATTTGAGCAAAGTTAAAGCCCCTGTTGCGTTGTATTATGGTAAAAATGATTGGCTCGCTGCAGTTAAGGTAAAAAAAAAACATTTTTTATAATGTTTCATTAATAATGTACAATTTTTTTTATAGGATGTTGAACAATTAAGTGAGGAGTTAGGAAACGTCGTTGTCGATCATTTAATTGAGTACGAACACTTCAACCATTTAGATTTCCTTTGGGGAAGAGACGTTTACGATATGGTTTATGAACAACTGCTTGACCTAATGAAGAAATATTAGATAATCAAATTTAACTTCATATTTAGAACAAATGTACCTTTAATTGCTTATTTATACTAAATAAAAGATAAGGTATTTAATCCTATTATATTCCCATATTAATATCTGTTTCATCTATTTTTTTTTATCTTCAAAAATATGTGACCTATACGTTTTATTTTGATATGTATATTGTTTCTTTTCAAACGATCAAAACCTTTACATATTTATCTTGTTTAGAATGTTTTGAAACCACTTGAATGTATTATTTTTAACCAGCTTAATTTTATCTGAGAAAATGATGTGATTTTTCTTAAAAAGAATTCGTTATCTCAGTAGATAATCTTAATCGATTTTCTCTATATAGATATTATATGTTTATAAAGGCAAGCAGTGGATGAAAATAATTTTATTGCAATATGAAGCATTTTAGCAAAGCCATAATATTTGCCATATTGGCAACGACAGGTCTTGCTGTCCCCATTCTCAAGACTCATCCAGATCACGGATTAAATGTGGTAAGTACATGAAATAACTCTTACAATAGGATGAAAATACTTAAGTTTAAAACAGTTAGAGTTGATCGAGAAATACGGCTATCCATTGGAGCGTCACACTATACAAACTGAAGATGGATATATCCTCGAAATGCATAGAATTCCACATGGAAGGAATAGCACAATACGAACTGACAGACCTCCAGTTCTACTAATGCACGGCTTAAGTAGTAGTTCCGCTGATTGGGTTAACACTGGACCCGAACGTGCTCTTGGTTTCATATTGGCCGACATCGGTTATGATGTTTGGCTTGGAAATTCGAGAGGGAACAAATGGGGTAGGAACCACACCACTCTGAATCCAGATCATGATAAAGCAACCTTTTGGAACTTTAGGTATAAAATAAAATTTGCCTAAAACGATACAATGTTGTTAATATTTTAGTTGGCATGAGATTGGAAAGTTCGATCTGCCAGCTCTGATCGATCATATTTTGGAGTTGACACAAGAAGATAAATTATTTTACATCGGTCATTCGCAAGGCACAACTGCATTTTTCGTGATGGCTTCAGAACGACCAGAGTACAACGACAAAATTAGATTGATGTCAGCTTTAGCACCCGTTGCCTACATGGACCACGCGGATAATCCCATTAACAGTATCTTATCGCAATTCGAAGAATCGCTGGAGGTAATTATACATAAATTATTTAGTTTTTCACATAAACATTTATAAATTTCAGTGGATTTCCAAATATCTGGGAATGTACGAATTTCTGCCGGATAGTGAATTCTATACGATATTCGGGAAAGAAGCTTGCGACGATGAAGCTCCACTGCAGGAAGTTTGCACCAACGTGGTGTTTCTAATATGCGGATTTGATTCCGAGCAATTAAATGCGGTATGTTAGCATTAGAATTACGAAATTTTACTACAAATTTTCATGTTGTTTGTAGACCTTCATCCCGGTAATCTTGAGTAACATACCATCTGGTAGTGCGACAAAACAATATTTACATTATGCACAAGGAATTAAATATGGTAACTGGATTAAACGCGTTGATAATGATATTTTATGAATGACTTCATTTAAGGAACTTTCCGTCAGTACAACTATCATAAAGAAGAGATCAATATGAAGATATACGGTCAACCAATTCCGCCAGATTACGTAATCAGTAACATTAGAGCACCTGTAGCCCTACATTACGGACAGAACGATTGGATGGCTTCAGTTATTGTAATGCATTCAACGTTCTTATTGTTGTTTTTGATCATCTTTGATTTACACGTTTATGTTTGCAGGACGTGGAACGTTTAAAGGATGAACTCCCAAATGTCGTAACCGTGAACAAGATTGCTTACGAAAAATTCAACCATTTAGATTTCTTATGGGCCAACGATGTCAACGAATTACTTTACAACGATCTACTTGCAGACATGTTAAAATATTAATGAACATTATTTAACAGAAATATATAGTTTAATAGCAACACATATAATTTACTGTAATTATTTTTAATTTAACATCATTTTCTAAGAAAAAAAAAATTGATTACAAATTATGTGCGTTCACCGAAAGATAAATGAATTTATTTTGAATAATAAAGAAAAACATGTTGTGATTTATTAAACTCATTAAATTACATTACGTCACCTTCGCAGTATACTTTTCAATTAAATAAATAAACTGAATTGCAAAATTAGAAAATCCAGTTTGTTATATAATAAAAAAAAATTATCAATAGACTTTATTCGATGCTCAGGTATCTGTGGTACGCTATAATCATTAGTTTACTCATTTTTACAAAACATTAAATTAAATTAAAATGTCGATAATCAAATGTATTATATTTACATGTTTTTCATCGACTGCCATTTCTATGCCAAATTTACCACTTGATACTGGTCTAAATGTCGTAAGTATTGTTAATAATTTCTTAGATTTGTAATAATTAGTGTCTTAGTTCGAGTTAATTATAAAATACGGATATCCATTAGAGCGACATATCAATATAACAACTGAGGATGGGTATCTATTAGAATTACACAGGATACCTTACGGAAAGACCAATCAAACCAGATTAGGTCCAGTGCTCTTAATGCACGGATTGTTAACCAGTTCTGCAGATTGGTGCAACGGAGGTGCAAAAAACAGTTTAGCATTTTTTTTGGCTGATGCTGGATACGATGTTTGGATGGGAAATTTCAGAGGAAACACATGGAGCAGAAAACATCGAACTTTAGATCCAGACATTGATGAATCTGCATTTTGGAATTTCAGGTGCAAAACGATAAAAGATTTCGAAGTTATCCTAATATTGTTTCAATTTTAGTTGGCACGAGATGGGATTTTACGATTTGCCAGCAAAGATCGACTATATTTTAAAAGTGACCGGAGAGGAAAAGTTACAATATGTTGGGCATTCTCAAGGGACGTGCGCGTTTTGGGTGATGGCATCGATGAAGCCGGAATACAACAAGAAAATTAAGCTGATGTCCGCTTTAGCTCCAATAGCTTTTATGAAACATGTGAAAACCCCATTCGCGACATTCTTTGCACCGTACGAACCGGAATTCGTAACTGAAAATTATTTCGAGGTATTTCAAAGACCGGAACTGTTCAGAATCTTAGGGCGTGAAGTATGTCGCGACGGTTCAAATCTACAATATATATGCTCTATATTTATTTTCTTGATTTGCGGATTCGATCCTGACCAAATGAATATCGTAAGTGTTACAACTATCTTTTATAAACATGATTACTTCAATATCTAATAAAGCATTATTGTTATTTATTCATTGAATATTATTTCTAGAGTTTAATTCCAGTGGTTACAACAAACACTCCTGCAGGAGCTTCGATCAAGCAATTTCTACATTTCTTTCAATCAATACAGTTTGGTCAGTATAAATTAACCTATTATGATTTACTGGTAGATTATATACTTTCAGATTATTTCAGACAATACGATTATCATTCGGAAGAAAATAATCTAAAACATTATGGACAACTCACTCCTCCAGATTACGATCTTACAAAGATCACTGCTCCAGTCGCTATATATTACGCACAAAATGATTGGTTGAGTTCTATGGAAGTAAATATAGTAAAGTTTTATTATTTATATAGCCTACTAACATATTCATTTTTATAGGATGTTGACAAATTAACTGGATTTCTACCGAACATTGTATTAAAACATCTGATAGAGTTTAAAAAATTTAATCACATAGATTTTATGTGGTCCATTGACGTTGTTGAGTTGTTATATAAAGATTTAATTGAACTGATGCAAAAATATTAACGAAACATTTATTTTTTTACAACTGTTTACATCTTTAATTTATTATAAACTTGTTTACTTAGAATTTTAAATTTTAACTGCATTTGAGTCATTTTTATGATCCATTTAATGCACAACAACAAAATTGTAATTCTCAAAGTATTCCATGCACATAACATTATTAAAATAATGTCTTACATAGTAGGAGAAGATCGAAATTTTGTGTGTATATATATACGTATATTAAACAGTTAAAACTATTCAAAGTTTCATTATGTCTAGCACGAGATATATTCTGTTTTCATGTATTTTAATAACTGCTCTTTCTAAACGTTATACAAGAACAAAAATACCTTCAGATACTGGTCTTAATGTTGTAAGTGATACTAAAAGAAATTATTATAAATATGTAATAATTAGTATCGTAGTTTGAGTTGATTAAAAAATATGGATATCCTTTGGAGCGACACGTTAACGTAACAACGAAAGATGGATATTTGTTGGAATTGCATAGAATTCCTCAGAGAAAGATTAATTTGGGCCCAGTGTTATTAATGCACGGCGTGTTCAGCAGTTCAGCAGATTGGTGCAACGGTGGTGCAAATAAAAGTCTCGCATTTCTTTTGGCTGATGCTGGCTACGACGTTTGGATGGGCAACTCCAGAGGAAACACATGGAGCAGAAAACATCGTACTTTGAATCCAGATGTAAATAAATCAGAATATTGGAATTTCAGGTGAAATTTATTAATTAATTACAATAACAATCATTTATAGTTGTGCTTTCAGTTGGCACGAGATTGGGATTTATGATTTACCCGCAATGATCGACTATATTTTAGAGGTAACAGGAAAGGATAAATTGCAATATATTGGATATTCTCAAGGGACAGTAGCTTTTTGGGTGATGGCATCCACGAAACCGGAATACAACAATAAAGTGAAGCTGATGAATGCTTTAGCACCAGTCGCATTCATGAAACAAATTGCAAATCCGTTCATCAAATTCCTTGCACAATTCGAGTATACTTTATCAGTAAATAGTTTTGATTGTTTAATACCATTGATTACTGTTATAACATTGTAGTTGATAGCGAAAGATCAAGAAGTTTTTGAGTTACTTCGAAAATCGGAATTGCTCGAAATCTTGGCCCGTGAAATTTGTCACGATGGTTCGAATTTCCAAGAACTGTGTTCAACAGCTATTTTCTTGATTTTCGGATTCGATCCCGACCAACTAAATTCCGTAAGTCTTTCAATGAACAACTTTATATCAATTTCATATTCATTTATTAATTTTTTTTTAGACCTTATTACCAGTATTTTTGTCCAATGCCCCTGCCGGCGCTTCATCAAAGCAAGTTCTGCATTTTTTGCAGTCTATAAGATTTGGTTAGTACCAATTAATTAAGTAATAATCATTAAACAAGGTGTATACTCTCAGGACATTTCAGGCAGTACGACTATCATTCAAAAGAAGAGAATATAAGATATTATGGACAACCTTCTCCTCCGGATTACAATCTATCAAAGATTAATGTACCTATTGCTCTACATTATGCACAAAACGATTGGTTGAGTTCTACAAACGTAAATGAAATTATTATTTATTTACTTACCTTATTAAAATTGAATTTTCTAGGATGTTGACAGATTAATTAGGATTCTACCGAACATGGCATTAAAAAATAAGATAAACTTTCAAAAATTTAACCACATTGATTTCATTTGGTCCATCGACATCGTTGAGTTGGTATATTCAGATTTACTTGCAATAATGAAAAAATATTAAATAAATATATCTTTTATGTTTTTTCATTTAAATGTTAATAGCGATACTTAAAAAGTCACATCAAAGACATTGTAATTTACGAAAGATGGAAAAATTAAAACGATTCACTTACATAGTAAACAAGGTGTGATCTAAATATTTGAACGATAAAAAGTGTCCGGTTCTCATTAATCAGTCTAATGCGCTCTTAATTAGTAGGCTTTGCGATGTCGACGCAAGTGGCTGCTAATATTGGGGTTGTCCTAAAATTGTGCTACATTTTAGGTCTTATACCGAACTATAACTATAAAATAAAGGCATTCAAGGTGGGTCGGATCCATACGTATATTTTAATTATAACTTTCTTGATCACTTACACTTACTCGAGAGCTGGTAAAAGAAAAATGGAGATATTCGCTGGCACGGTGATAAAACGTGTATTTACAAATTTATCTTTGCTGGTTGTGACGTTCTCCAACATCCAAACAATGATTTCTTCGACTTCTTGGAATTTGAAGCATTACCAATGTTTATTCGACAATTTCGATTTAATTGATGAACATTTGTTCACAGTACATAATTGTAAAGTTCCAACATACAAGAAGGTGAAACTGTATTTCAGCTTACTGAACTTGTGTGTTATAATGATGAATGTATTCGATTTTATCTTTTGGGATTTGAAAGAGAACAAGGAGCAATTGAAATACATGATCCATGAAGCTATTCAAGCATATTACATGTTCCTGTTAACTATATTGCAATATTATATATTGTCGTTGATAAAATGCAGATTTCGAATAATCAATTCGATCATTGAGCATTTGGATGTAGCTAGGATGAAATTGGTTCTCAACAAAGGCGAAACCAGACGGTGGCTGTATAAAATAGATAACGTAACGAAATTGCATAACATCATATGCGATATGATAGATTGCTTCAACCAGATCTTCGGATGGCCGATATTCTTCACAATGCTTTACATTATCATCAATGTATCATCTGTTATTGACTTCATATCAACAATGAAGATAGAGGTGTATACTGTGGAAACAATTCTGATGATCATTTGGATAATTTATTTAGTGGTGAGTAAACAATCTCAAATTAAATAATCTAATAATTCTTTAATTTAAGGGCCAAGGAGTACTAATTGCAGTCATGTGCGAATCAGTCACCGAAGAAGGAAGACAACTCATTAAGAATAGTTACGGTGCTTTGAACCGTTTCTCGTATCATCAATCGATCAAAGAGAAACTATTCATTTTGGCGCAACAGACGAATGCTCGCTACCCCATATTCACAGCAGCGGGATTCTTTAAAGTCGATTATTCAATTTTGTTTACATTCTTGAATTTGATAGCCACATACGCCATTGTAATCATACAGTTTTCGCACGCTGCTTTATAAATATATATATATTTTTTTATTCTCTGAAAGTAATCACGAAATTGATAATAGCGAATAATTGAGATAATGATAGCATCACTTAAGGAGAAAACGATTATCGCAGCTTAATAAATCATTATTGCTATGGCCATCGCTCAAATCATATCAACTATAGCTTTGGTCAATTTGGCCTTTGCAGCGCATCCTTATGTTGGAAAAACTGTGGTATGTAACAATTAGAAATAATATATACACAAAAATACAAATGTTAAATTATTGATGTTAAGTTGTATAGCAATATTAATGTGTTTATTTAGGAAAAGTTTATTAAAATCTGTAAAAAAAAAATCGTAATAGATTTGTAACAAATATAATTGTGTATTATTTTATAATGGTTTAAAATTTAAATAAAGAAAAACCACGCGCTTTTTATTAATTAATTGTGCATATGGAATATGAATGCATTTTCTTAACATATAATATTAATTGAACCAAATAAATTCTCATTCCCATTTAACATATTTGATATTAACTCGAACCAAAAAAAAAATCATCTATGTTTCTAGATTTTCATTTTATGCTGCTTATAACGAAAATTCTATGTATACTGAAGTAAATTTGTAAAGCCATTCAATTATAGTCGTAATAATATTTCAGTTTTTTTTAGTTATGTTAAACTTTTTCAATTTCACTATTGCTTATGGACTCTTATGTTTTAGGACGAAATTATTACCAAAAAAAAAATCATCTATGTTTCTAGATTTTCATTTTATGCTGCTTATAACGAAAATTCTATG